ATTCTGCGCGCCACAAATCGGTTTGTTGATGCTCAAAACATCAACAAACAAAATCTGCCAAGACCATCCCAAAAGATTGAAAAATTGGGATGGCTCCTGCTCCAAGTGCTGTTGCAGCTGCCGTTGCAGTTCTGCCTGCTCCTGCAACTGTTGTTGAAGAGCCTCAGTGTTGCCGTTGTGATTTCTGTGTACCCTCTGGTAATTTGTTACATAGCTATTGAAAATGGCCCATAGAAATAGTTGATTTACCTATTAAACATAGTTATTTTCCATAGCTATGTGACTTTACCAGAAGGTAAGCTTCACTATTTTACAGGCTTTCAATAGTCTGGTGGAATACCTTGCGATATTCTGATATTCATATAGTATGAACCAGCTGTAACTCCCAATTCGCCTCCGATTTCTTTTGTCGTGTATTTCATTCCTGACTTGGTTCAAGGGAAAATTTGCAGGAAACCTCCCTGTTCAATGGTTAAATTATGTTAAATTAGTGAAATCCATGGTTTCAACCGTGGCCAGTTATTCCAGCTACCACTACACGGCCTAGGAACCAGCTCTTGCTCCTCCAAGCGTTGTCGGAGCCTCGCTGGTGGTGGGATCATCAGCCCAGGTAGGAAATTTTAAGATACTAATTTAGATATGATTGAAATATAGATATCTATAATATATATATATCATATATATATATTCATATAGCAATTCTATAGCTATACTATATCCAATATCTGTAATTATGCATATATTTAAGATATCTATACTCGAAATATCGTTGAAAAGTGTTACGTTTAAAGTGTCCGACATACGTGAAAACACCAACCAAATCCAACTGGGTTGGAAATCGAAACAGTGAGGCCTTTATCTTTCGATCTCCACTACGTGAGTTTGTTCCGAAACGAGGTATCCCTCTTTCTTCTATCAAAAATAAATTCAAATAATGGTGACTTAAAATTATAAACCATGGAATTTGGCGGTTTCCCAGCTTTGTTTTTGGGTCCAAGCCATGACAAGCCCTCCCTTTTTCACCTGCAGATCACTGGGAATAGCACTCAGCTCGAGAATTCGAAGCCTGTAGCTGTGGAGCAACGTCCGGCAGCTGGACCTGGCACTGGGAAAATCTACCGGAAACCAGTTTTCTGAAACCCAAAAACTCAGGAAGCTCCATTTGTTCTTTTCCCTTTCAACCAAAGATGACCAAGTCTGGGATTTCTGAGTTTCCTCAGGATGCATGTTGTGAAGCATCTCCAATGTCTTAATTTTATGGAGAAATCACCGAAATCCATCAGCCAGGGGCATGTGATGGAAGACATCTACATCAGCGCATGAACACTGAGTAAAGAAATCAAAGTTCTCCAGGAATGGGTTAAGTCGTGTTAAGTCTATACTTAACTGGGATAGTACCTAACTGGACCTAACCCAATCTTTTGGTGCTTCAAGGTCCCAAAAATCACCCAAAAAATCCGCCACCATTCAGCCGCCGAAACCACCACCGAGGTGCCTCATTCTGTCGACTTTCCCGCTGTTGCCGAGCGGCCACCGCCTCAGCATTAAGCGCCAGTAGGCTGTCCGGGGAATACATCCAGGGGAGTCTGCAAAAAGCAGGTGTTCTGATGGACAACAGGGATACAAACAACAAAAAATGGATTAGAAACCTGCGAGATAACCCCAGTTAAGGTGGATGTTTGTGTCATGTTGCACACTGCAGTCATTTTCCACGTATCCAGCAGCTGTCACGGTCGTCCGCCCTATGTTTGAAAGAGGGAAAAGGCCCAACGCCAGTTACCAGTTGCTTTGCAGAGCAGTGCTATTTCCAAAATCGGGATTGTCGTGGAAAAATGTGAAACGCGTAATGCGTTCACTTGACTGGCAAATTTACTTGGGGACGACTCCATCTGTGTGTGTAACATTTGTATATATGTATATATATATACATGACATTTCATACATTATGTATAACACATATACATGTCATAACAGCTATCAATCGGATTACCTTTCATGCCACTGGATTCCAGCCACTCATTCCTCTGGCACCTCAGTGGAGTCTGGCGGATAACGGATGTTATTTAACATAGCTATTGGGAATTGCTATAGATGACTTTACCTATCAAAAAAAAGTGATGTTCCATTAAACTGTGTGAACTTACTACAGGGTATATGAATTTATAAATTTATTGGCATATTTTTGTGTGAAACCATCTGTTTTGCCAAGGTGATGATGATAGAACGTTGGCTTTGTCCAAACAAAGTGCACTGCAAACCGCAGAACTGGGACAACCCGCCGTCGGGGGGCCTTGACCTTGGAATAAACCCTCGGCTATTTAGCTAGGAGGTATCAGATTAATTCAAATTAGCCCTATTTGGGTTTGTCTGAAAATAGGGTATATTCCCAATGAAATAGCCATTTAATAGGGATAATGATCATGAACACCATTGGGTAAAAAGGGGTACACAACATTTTCAGACACACCCATTTTGGGAATCAACCAGGCTTTGATCCAAGGTTGACATCAACCAATTTTTTGGTGGTCGTAGGTTCTCCCATGTCATGCAACGAGCCACGGCCTCGAGAATGGTCAGTACTTGGGCTTCCTGCGATCTGTGGAGATGAGATCTGGGATGTTGAAATATGTTTAAGTATCTTCACCATTGAAACATCATGAAACAATATGAAACATGAGCTATGTCAACCATGTCAGTTTTTTATCCGCCTCCACTTCAACTTTCGAGCTCTGATGTGGAGTCGCGACAACTGGGAAGCGAGCAGCTGTGAAAGGTTGCAACCCTCCCTAAGAGCCTAAGGGCACCTTGCCCAGTTCGTCTGATTGTTGCAACACTTGGATCTGGTGGGCTTATAACATTGGTTGATAACTTATAACATGCTTATGCTGTGAATGGGAGTATATCATGATTCGCAGAATCGCACACAGAATCTGACAGATCTATTCTGATGGAGTTGTGGGAAAAATTGAAAGTACCTCAGTGGAGGTATCCTGCTTCACACCACATGTCCAAGAAATTTATGCGTGCCACTGTCCAATCTGCCTGGTAATCAAACACTGCTAGCTGGGAAATCCCCCCAGCAATAGTTCGATGCTTTTCAATGGTCAGTCATAGCGATTTCCCAGCCAGCCATGTTTGATGACACCGTTGCGGGTAAACGAGGCTTCGACCGATTCCTCCTCGATTTCTGTCAGGAACATCTCCTCTGTCACGTCGATAGGATAATTGTCCTCATCTGAAGAGACCATGAAAATGTCGGATCAATAAACCCCTGGGCTGTTGATCATGAGGGTACCATTAGTAGCAGAAATCGTCTTTGGGGTGTAACCCCCGTGATTCATCAAGCCAGGGGTGAAATTGCACATCATGATGATGTTCTGTGGCTCCAAAAGAGGTCCCCAAACCCCCATTCGATATTCATTGGATTCATTCGAGTTTACTACAGTTACTACAAGATGTTTCTAGAAGTTACAGTTTCAAACACTTTTGAACTTTTGGCTGTGTCTTCACGGGTTTATACACCAAAATTGCATTTTTTGGTCGGGAAAATGATGGATCGACCCGTCGAAAATGATGGGCTGTCGCTGTTTCAGCTGAGGCACATCATCCCAGTTCACCTCGCACATGAGACTTTAAAGTCTGCAGTAGCAATCCCCAACGTTCATCAAAGATACTAGATATATGATGATATATGTGTATATGTGGCCTGGATATGCTTTAATAATTAGATATCCCATGATACCCATGTTCTGCGGAAAAAAGAAAAAAAACATGCTGATATCCAGTGTTTCTGTTGCTACCCTCCAGTAAACATACTTTTTTGATGGAAAAATCCACCGTAAAACTATATAAAACTCATAAAAGTAGATCATTTCCAAAAACAACCATGGATGTTCATCGTTTCATTGTTTTTGTTGGATGCTGAAGGCGATCTGTCCACATCTCAGGCCAAAGGGCCATGACACCAGGTCGAGCTGGACCTTTCCAACCTGGAGGCCGATTGGCCCACTCACCTGGGCCGAAATCTCCAGTTCGGTGTCAACTACTCATCCATACACTTCCATGTATATAAATATATATATATACAGAAATATACATACATGTGTCATCTATACATATAATTGCATATGTATATGCATGTACTACACACAAATATATATATATATATAATGTATGTCTACATATATCCCTGAACCAGAAGGGCTGCTTGGTCATTGCTTGGTCACATCTTCGTACTTTCCACGACCCACCTGCGGGGAGGATTCCCACAACGTAGCCCTCACTGCCGCCCTCGACCACTTGCGGAAGCCTGGCCAGCACCCGTTGGCTCCCTTGAGATGGGTGTCTCCTAACTATCTCATGGGGATATTTGATTTCATAGCCACTAGGCACCCCCAATAGTGATAAACTATTGTTCTATCTTTCTAGGGGTTACATCGGAGAATTTTCGTGGGATATACGGTTGCACCAATGTGGGTAGATGGTTTGTGGCACGGGGAAATCATACCCCAATAAATTACAATAAATTTCCATCTTGATGGTCAAATCCGAAAAAATATGATAAACCCCAGGATTTTTTGAGGCTTCCAGGAAATTGATGGTCCAAACCTCCTCTTGGTTATATCAATCCCTGTGCCATGGCTGTCGACCCCCCTCACGGCCGGTTCTTGGAATTGCCATCAGAAATGAGCCTTTTGCATCCTTTTGGGATGATAACTTGGGGTCCATCTTAAGAAACGTGCATGTGCAAATCCAACAAATCCAACAAATCCAAATTCTATCCAATTTTGATGCCCTACCAGGCCCTAATATCTCCACTTTCTCGAAATCTGGAAATTTCCCCGGCCAAACCGACAGCGGAATCGTCCACCTTTCACGCTCTTCTGCTTCCTGGCAAGGGATGCCGGGAGGAAGCAGAAAGGATTTGAGAGTAAAATCTAGTCCAAGAGTTAAGTGTAAATGATTAAATTTATTAAAATCCATCTTTTTGGTGTTTATGATCATTTCCATAAAACACGCATCGCAAGTTTGATCCCATTTATTTGTAGTCTGTGAGAGGTCAAAAACATTTGTCCCATACCATCTTGCTCCCCCAAAAAACTGGTATAGAAGATCATATAGGCTTCAACAACCTTGGAAATTCTTGTAGCATAGCTTCGAAAATTCATGAGTCTAAATTGGGGAGCTCGGAAATCTAAGAATTGCTCAATTCTGGCCGAAAATTTTGTGAGATTAGCAATGTTGATGCAATCTGCACTGCTCTCCTCTTCCTCATCTCGCTGGTGCTCTGGCACACCATAGCCACCACCCTGTGCACAAAACCGCTCAATCACACATGCAAATATACAAATCATAGAAAAGACGTTGGGAAGATTTGCTCTTCGCCCTGATTACGGTAAGTGGGGATTAAACCGCCCACACTGGAAAATTCACCTATCTCAAAAGTGGCGACGCATTTACACAACACAATTGCACATTGGGTCCCAAAATATCCCCAATATCACAGCTATCACAGCTCAGCGTGGGAGACCAAACCCTCCACAGCTTGCAGGCCTCGTTGAAGTAACCTCTGCCATGGTGAGAAATCCGCATGGGTACCCTTGCCTTCACTCGATCTCCAACGCGAAACCTGCCAAGAAAAAGATTCGGCCCTGGCATCTGGCTTTAGCCAGCTAAGGCCTGCATCAGCCTCGGGGAGCAATAGGAAAATTCAGCATATCATTGGTTTTAATTGTTTTTAGGGAATATCTCCAAATCAGAGGTCTTGCAAAGTTTCAGCCCTAAACCAAGATCTGGGATGCTTTGGGCCCACCAAAGCTGTGTCTGACCTGCTCATTTCGGGTGTCTCTTGAGGAGCAGCTTCTGATGGCTGCAACATAGCAAAGGACTCGACCTTGGTCGTATTGGGGATGGTTTAGGGTTTACCACATCAAGAGGAACTTGGATGGTTTTGAGGGGTACAAAACAATTTTGGATGTTCTCCTGAGGTTTCCATGGTGCTGCTGACCGTAAATGGTGTCCGGGAATCCTTCATGTTTCGGATTCAGTGTCAGTCTTGCTCGAAGTTGTTAGGAAAAAGAAGGTTCCCGAGAGTTTGTCTTCTGACAAGGGGATGTCGCTCCAACAAAAGGTATCGCTGCTTCTAAGACATCCACTGGGCTGCCGAAGAAAAAAGCACATAAGGCTGCCTCGGAGTGCGATCGAAGCGTGTGATAGCGTGTGATCGAAACCAAGGTGACCAGTTAAGCTGCTTCCCAGCAGGATCATTGCTCTGACCATGACTGCTAGCCGCAAAACGCAGGGCTTTCAAGGACTTTCAGGGTAGGATAAAGCTACAAGTAGGAGAGATATGGAGAGATGTCACCAGTGGACGTATCAGCCGAGGTGCTGCCAACCCAACGAGTGAGAAGCCCTGGGCATTGCGAGGTGGACAGCCCATTGTGTCCTCTTCGAGAAGTGTCTTGGAATACCAGGCAGCTCAAATCGATTTTCTCCGTTTCCAAGATATATACGTTACGAGCCAACAATCTCCATCTTTGAACATTGAAAAGCGGTTCCGAAATCCCTCGCCCAAGGTCTGGAACAAAAATCCGACACCAGCTGTAGCAAACCGAACACCTTTGTTTCATCATCCCATCCCCATGCCCACGCAGGCTGCGCATGCTGTGCGCCTTAAGGCTAGCCCGCGCGCGGACCCGCGCCATGCTTGGCACGTTTTGCCCCGTTCTGTTCCGGCCCTTGAGCCAGGGTCTTCAGCAGCAGTGCGGAGGTTGGCTCAAGCCCTGAGTAAAATAGCCAAAATCTGAGGTGGAAGATCTTATGGTGGTGGTGATGGTAATGATGATGATGGTGGTGGTGGTGGTGGTGGTGGTGGAGTTTCTTCGTTTCCTACTCAACAACTCGATGACAAACACAGACCATAACCACTTGAGATTCTGTCGAAAACCATCTGAATAGGTCAGTGGATGTCGAAAACACCAGGTTTCAACTCCGACCGGTGCCCGCCGTATTGGGCAGATCTTGTTTGCCCGCCGTATTTGCTTATTTCCATATTTGTCTACGTAGGTAAACATGTATGTATGTATGTATGTATGTATCAGTATGTGTAAGTATATATTCATTATATATATATATACATATCCCATTCAATATATTGTGCAGGGGGGTGGCAGGTGTGATCCCTTATGAAGATGAGTTGAAGTTACGATCCCGTTCAATATCTCTATTTATATATATATGTGTATTATGTGAATGTCAATGTATAGATATATATATATATCAAAGGGGGTGACGGACTTTACCCCTTATGAAGCCAAGTTGAAGCTACTATCCCGTTCAATATCTATTGTTCAGAGGGGGTGGGGGGATTTGATCCCTTAAGGCAAGTGGTGGGCGAACGTCCGGGTTTTTTCCAGCGGAGCCTCCCTGGCGTCTGAGCTGCTGACGCCACTTCCCCGAGCAACCAAGCCGCGGATACCCAGCCTCAGCTCCGTCTTGGAGATCCAATATATCGGCTATTTTTGGCATGGGAACTTCCGAGTTACCCTCATTTGGTCAGTTGTAAAGTTGAATTTGCATCAACTTGAATCGGCAAGGTCATTCAGTTGTTTCTTGGCATTCAGCTTGCCTTCAAGACTGGGTGTTGTGCCGCCTTTTGTTTCAGGGGGGACAATTTCTACCCGCAGTACCTGCGCTACGCCCCACAGGTACTTCACTATATACACGTTCACATGGTTTTTGTAGGGGTTCTTTAGGGTTCATTTAGGGTTAATTTAGGGTTTCTCCTAGGGTTTTTGTAGGTTTTCATTAGGGTATCTGTATTACGGACAGCTTCGCGGTCTCAGTAGGCACAGCTGCTGCAGTGCCGTACTGTCCTTCTGTCTGCGCCTACAGCGGTCGAGCTATGTCGGCAGTGCGACGAATAGCCCTGGAACTGGTGAAAGTACCAAGCAAGGCCTGGCAAGGTGCAATCGCTCTGCAAGAGAGCCTAACGTAGATTCCTCCACTGGGCTTGTACACTTATGTAAGAAGTGCTGAAAACCGCGAAAGGATTTCATCCGAATCCCCGCAGAGGGTCAACAATCACGTCCCTCACGAAGCCTCGTGAGGGACATGAAGTTTAACCATCTCAACATAGTGGAAGGCCGCAAAGTACTGTAAAGGTCACGAAATTTGAGGTTCCCGGCATAGCACAAGTGCTGGCCGAATTTTTACAGGACACAGGAAGCATCCCATGTTCCCACCACACTGGAGTTGGTTTTGATGCGCCTCGCCTATCCAAACACCGCTAGGTCCAGGTTAAAGTCAAAAAAGATATGGCTATGGACGCTGATTAAAACATTGACACCAAAATTTTGGTGCTGGACGTTCCTCCCTCAGTGGAGGTTTTGACCCCCATGTCTCCATCACCGAGTCACGGTCTTCCTGCAGGACTGGCCTAGTGCTCTCAGCATGTCGCAGCTGGAAATGGGAAAATCGGAATGAATGGAAAGGAACAATGATGAACCTGTTGTCATTTCATATTGATTTCTGTCTATTTTGAAGCCACTATACAATGAGCATCCAGAATCCATCAACCCCGCAACGATCAAAATGTCATCCATCGGCTTGACAAAGCTCGACACTTGCGCCTCTGCTCGATTCACCTGGACACTGAGTGGCCTGCATTGCGTGGCGAAGATATGAAGAAACCAAAGTCATCAAACAGCACACCTTGACCATCTTGACCCAGTCACTGACCCCTCAGTTCGAAGAGATCTCTCTGGTTTTTAGAACATGGACTCCGCGGGACTGCCCTGTGCTTCCGGATTGGGCATGACCTTTCTGTGGTGTTCGGAGCGACACGATAGTCATCTGTTATCTGGTTATATCTGGTTGAAGCCTGAGATGAAAAAGGCCCTCAGGTTTCGACATCTCCCCTGTTGCCTGACTGGTGTTGGAGGCAAGCGAAGTGCTTCCCGCATTTGCTGCCTGGCATGGCTTCTCAAAAAGGCTTCGGGCTTCGGGCTTCGGGGCTTCCGCGTGTGTCACGTGCAGGAGTTGGTTGACATCAAAACCTGCCGGTCCAACTCCCTATTCTCCAAGGAGTGTTCAGTGAGGAGGCGAAAGTCCACTCCTGAGCTCTGCCTTTGAATAGCAGCTCCTCCGAGGGCTGAGCGGTGTCCATGATCATTGGTACAAACCCCCCCATTGTTCTTGGTGGCCTCGCTCGTGGTCCCTTCCAATTAACGACAATGACAATTTCACCAAATATCAAAAAAAATATGAATAATCAGTCAACTATCAAACCATGTAAACCCATGTAAAGATATTATATATATATATACACTATATCAATGTATGTCAAGTAAAATCATGAACTCCAAACTCCAGGTTTCCTCCACCTCCCCGTCCTCCCACGGCCAATCCCTCCGCCCTCCGCCCGCGCAGCGCGCCACTGGAGACGGCGCTCCGCAGCGTCGAAACGACGACGCGGCGCGGGCGCCGCGTGGACGAGGGCGTGCCCAGGTCGGGCAGCAGCAGGTCGGGCATGGCGCCATGGCAACGGAGCCCCGGTAAAACCCAGTGGCTGAGCCAAAAATAACAAGGTTTCATAGGAAAAAACAGAAGATGATGAGAATGTGTGGTGACTTTTTTGGGGGGATAACGGATGAAAAATCATACTGAAACTGTTGAAGATGGTGAGACTTGGAGCTTTTTGTTTTTTCTTAGATGCAAATCTCTTCACAGGGCTTGCCATAGAAGAAGGAGTGCAGGTCAACGACAAGTCTATAAGTTGAGACATAGACCCCGTGGCCTTGAGATTTGGGCTTGGAGTTCTTGAATCTCTGCCTTCCCGCGTCGCGAGAAGACCAAAAAAAAGAGCTGGCGTTTGTGTCCTTTCGCCAAAACCATACCTTTGATATCTCTTGATGTCAAATGAATTCAAATGAGCAAGTCCACAAGGATTTGAAGGAGAGAAACTTCAAATGATACTATAACCTCAGCTTGTGCCTTGAGGCTCTCATTCTCCATCGCCACTCCCTGACACTCGAAGGCATGACTGTCCAGAGACCAAAGTAGACGCTTTTACCCTGGAAGCTTCTAAGCCAAAGAATGCGGAAGAGTAATTCTCGGTTATCAAAATCCTATGGCCAAAAAATAGTGTGCCAATTGGACCTGCAAAATCGGTCGTTTTGCGTATTTAATTCACCAGCAACATCCAATCAACCAGTTATATTGGCTACATACCCATTACACCCTATCATTCTGCGCTGGTAGCCACTTGGATAGTTGCCCAGGGGCCTTACTATTGTGGTGGGACATCAACATCCATGTCACTACGCCAACTATGGGGGTGGGACATTAACATCCATGGCAACTTGCAAACATCCTTGATGCTAGAAAGTCTGCACTTGCGATTGCAAATGTACTTGATGATACAGTTACAGTAAAGGCTCTAATATTGTAATGAGGCACATACTTGATGCTATGCTACAGACTTCGCTTTTCATTTATACACATATTTGATGTTACGCTAAAGACTGTTTTTTGTACTTACAGGCATGTTAACTTGCAACACAAGTTCACGCTGCGGAGGTGCTACAATGGGGTTGGGCGGTGGGATATCAAGCCTTGCCTGGGGGACTAGAGACAGCTGCGGATAGGAAAAAAACGGTTTTCGTCCTTTGATTCCTTTGATTCCTTTGGCACTTGGGACGTTTATGACGTCATGTTTGACCAAAATACCCGAGAACTGAGAAGGTGTGTTACCGACAGCTTTTCTCCACATGTTTCATGACCAGTTGACCATATGTTCTGATACTTACCGATAGTCCCGTATGGATTGACCCGCAAATTTTCTCAGCGATATTTCAGCTGTTGGTAATATCCAACAAG